AAACGGTTTACCTTTCACCGTTTTTGCCAAACACTACAGTCGATGATATGCTGGATATGCTGGAGGTAAACGAATGAGATTGAACCAAACTACATGAACAATAAAAAAAACTAATTTCATTCAAGGTCCTATCATTACCAGACAAAATAAATTGCTTGGTATAATTTTATATGACGAAGATGACTTGCCCAAAATATGTACGTTAATTCCTGGGCACTATAATTTTATTAAAGGCCCAAGAGTAAGTGTAATTATTAAATAGAGCGATTCTTTCAGCAAATTATTAACAATTTTCGCATTTTTACTCAACATATTTTGCTCATTTTATTCAACACAATAACGAATTTTCTATTTTAGGATTTTTATAGGAGGAATTTCGCATAAGTAGAACTCAAATTAAAACTGGAAAATCACACCGAGGCAGTTATTTTTTTAAAATTAAAAATACCTTTGATTTTATTTAGTGAAAGAAATTATCAGTTCATATAAGTTAATACATTAATACTTATCATAATGCCAAAAACCACAGCAATGAAACGACAACAACAATAACACATATTTTTACAGTTAAAATTTTGATGTCAAATGGTGTCGACATTGGTGACGGTATTTTGAAACAGACTGTGTAATCCATATCCATCGTATATGATCCTATGTAAAGTTCTATACTTGATCTAGTTCACATTGACGGTTCAAATCGTTTATGTCCACTAGCGTGGACATGGACTGTGTGTTTCTTCTGTTACATGTACGTTGTAATGGACAAGTATAGTAATATGGCGTCGTTCAAATAAATTTAAAAATCCGTCCACTCGTGCCGACACCATCTAGCACGGTAGTAGGGATTACATTGCTGTGCCAAAAACTGTTTGTAAATGAATAAAATGAATTGAATACTAAAGAATTTAAAAATAACACATTTCCGCTTATTTTACATTGAGTAATTCGATGGAACTTCTTTATGAGTTGATTTTAAAAAATTGCAATCCAACTTAAGGAAAAGTACTACTAAGTGTGATTAATTTATTTTTTATATCTACTTTATATTTTATTTTATAAAAAAATTAGTTTGAGCCAAAAGTGTTGCTACATAAATTACAACATTTACATATGTTTTAAATTCGACAAATATTTTTTGGTGTGCAACATCAAAGTTAGAATTTGTAATAGCTTTAACATAGCGAAGAAGCCTCAAATGTTTCAAATCTATTTTTGACCAAGCAATACCAAAAAGAAAACTTTTATTTAAAGAGTTAAACTTACGTGATTGTGGACTAAAGTAGAAACTTAAAAACCCGCGATTGGGGATTATAGTAGCGATTTCATTTATTCTGAAAACATGTAAAATGCTTATCATTTTTAATAGACTGAAGTTAAAGCTTAAAAGTTAATGACCTTTGGCAGTGTTTACCTCTTATTACAATAGAAATGAATATAATCGATTTTCATACAATTCTAGTGTTGTTCAGAAATGCGTAATCGATATTCCATCCTTCCTTAACTTCTATTTCAAAACAATATCAATTCTTAACTTGAAGTGAATCTGAAAATTACTTCTTCTAAATGAAACAATATGCGTGTTCAATTGCCGATTTTGACACCTTCAGTTTGGTCGATCGATGAGGATCGCACGTTGTGCAACATTGAAGTATGCTTCATATTCAATGGTGTCAGCGTTTGTGTCATATTCGTAGTGGCCACCCCATTTTCCATTTGAAAAGCTATGAAAATGTTCCACTTGCATGTTCAAACCCATATCGTCAGTTATGAATGTCCCAACCGAAGTGAGTGGCGCAGGCATGTTAAATAGTCTCTTCCATGTATTTGGATCTTTAACTGGTTTTAAGGGAAAATTCAATCCAATATGTTGCATTGTTGTCCCATTCTTCACAACAAATACTCCGCCAAGACCTGAATTTAAAATTAATTAGATTCAATGGACTTGATCGAATATGTTTAGACTTACCAACAACTTTCCAGTCAAATGCTTCATAAACTGCCTTTCGACATGCCGTAATAAAACTTGCTTCACCTCCGATACGCTTTTTTGCTTTTATTTGAACGACCTGTGAAAGAATGAAGTAGTACCTAGCAAATTTAGTTGACGCAAAAGTTTTGACGAACCTTTCCGCTTTTGCCCTCTGACACAAACATATTTCCCAAAAATGCCATTCGCGTTTCATTAGCTGGAAACTTTTCCATCTTTAAATCATAACCATTCTCAAGTCTAATGTAACCTAATCGACATTGGTTTACAATCGATTTGTCTTCGTTGACTTTTAAATTGTAGACTCCCTGTCCGAAAATGAGAAAAAAGTAATTCGGAGCTTTTGGTGGTGTGAAAAAATTGATATACCTCACAAAATTGAGTCTTAACCATGAACGGACCACTTCCAGCACCATATACTGAAAAAATTCTGGCATTCGGCAATGCATTTCGTCCAATGTCGATTAAATCGTAGACTCTTTTGTAATTGGACATTGGAAATAAATAGTTTAAGCTACCAACTTGAACATGTGCGGTATATCCACTCAAGCCTTTTGCAGCCAAATTAAATGGTGACGCTGTTAAATCCGGACAATCCACCACTTTAACCGATACTTCCGCATAGTTCTCTCTCAATCCCTCTGATAGCGCTATTTCGATAGAATTTGAAAAGAAAACGTTAACAATTGTGAAGTCAAGGCCAAGTCAAACACTTACCCTCAGCTAATTGACTTAAAGGTGGTGTATAAAGTTCGAAATCTTCGAACGATAAACGATGTTTTTTTATATTAAGTGCCGGAAATGCTTCACCGCTTACATTTGACTGTGGAAAACGTTGTTTTAAATGTTACCAAAATCATTTTTGTACCAAAATATATTTCTTATTTGTAAAAAAATAGAACAAATAAACCACCATTGATGTTGAAATTGTAATGGCAATCAGTACAACTAGTTGAAACGCTAGCCAAGTCATTTTGGTTCTGCTGTGAAATGAATATCTAAGCCCTTATTTTGAAATTGTGCTATGTAATTTGCTAACTGGATCAAGTTATTTTGTTCTGATGCAATATTCCTCACTTATTGCCAAAAACAAGTTAAATGTCTCTTGAAGTGAAAGTAAAATGTTTAGTTTTAACTCTGTTTTAACAATTGATTATACTGGTATTTATACTTAATTCGAAGCTTGAATTTCATATAGGCTGCGTGGGAATTCGAATGCATCGCCAGGTTTTGTTTATTTTATTTTATTATTTTGAGATAATATTGATCGAATATTTCATATCATGTACAAACCTATAGGTATTCTATACCTATAGGTATATGCGGAATACACGTTGAAGTAATGGAATTTTTTTTGTTTGTGGCAAACCGATCGCTTACACATAGAATGAGTGACTTTCTAATTTTGGTGAATTATTTTTCAAATTGAGTGAGTCATTTTTAACTCTGAATGATGCTTTTACTTCATATTAAAATGAGTGAGCTTTTATTCGAAAAACTCTTTACTCCATATTTGAAAAGAAAACAAAAACAGAATTTCTTGTTTTGAAGAATTTTGTGTTAAATTTTCGTTATGATTAATAATCAAATTTGAATACCGAGTCCACCAGGTGATGCACGCATCCATTTATTTATTAATATTTTTGCATAGTTTTGAGCCTCGATTGATAAATAAGCTGCAATATTTATAGAGTAGTAGACATATGAAAACAATTTACATCAACTAGAATATTTTAATATTTGAAAAAAAAAACAACATATTTTTTTCCGGAAATAATCTTAGTAACTTTGTCAATGACCAATTGTCGAAAATAATATTTGAAAATTAAAATTCAAAGACAAAAGTTGAGTTTTTATTCGATTGCTATAAATTTAAAGTCAATAATACGAAATTCATTGTGAAATGGCTGATGAAAAATTATGGAAAACCGTACCATTCTACCCAAATACATTAGTGGATTTATTCCAAAATGATATTGGCGACAGAATAGAGGAAAGAGTGAAAAAGATAAGGTCATGTTTAAGTAAAAAGAGATATACACCCTTTTCAAACCTATTCGAACAAAATCAAAATTTTCCTGATCTACACTATAACTTATCAATAACTCAAAATCAAACGTATGGCCGATTCGTACAAGCTACGGGTAATATCTAGGGGCAATTCACTTAAAAATTACCTTTCAATAATTTCAATTTAATAATTGTTATTGATTCTTTTTCGATTATTTCGATTATTTTAAATTGATTCTTCTTTTGTGATTCTCCCCTTAGGTAATATCAATGCTGGTGAAAAGATTGGTGAAGCAAAAGCTTTTGCAGCCGTTTTGGATAAAACCGATATGCCCTATTGTCTCACATGTTTTGTAACAAAAACATCGAAATTTCCGATATGTTGTGCGAGGTGTAAGGCTGTTTATTGCAGTAAAGATTGCGCAGAAATGAATAAAACACACAAATATGAATGTGCGACCATCATTCAAACCATCAAATTTGGACCAAATATTGATGCTAAATGTGCAATGCAGATGCTATTCAAAAGTTTAGCAATATTCAAAGAAAATGTCGGCATGATGTGCGAAGCTGTGAAGGGCATGCTTTCAGCGCCACATAATAATAATAATGCAATTCAAACAACATGTCCTGTGCAAGTTAACAATGGACGATCAAGATTTGTGGCGATTATGCGACTTGAAGGGGAAACTTATCCTGGATTTGAAAGTCATCTCATACTAGCAATTCATATCCTTCAAAAATGCGAGAAAATTGTGGAACTTTTCCATTACTATCCACATTTCCTGCAACATTTACTGGGACATTTTTTAAAAGCTATAAATCAAAATAGTTTTATGGTTCCAGTGCCCGATGGTGAAGATCGCACAGTTATCAGGATGTTAATATTCGATACGTTTTCTTACTTCAATCATGCATGTTCGCCAAATGCGTTGCATTTTATTGAAGGAAATCGAATGACACTTATTTCAAGTTGTCCGATTTCCACACAACAGGAAGTTAATATTTGCTATAAGGAATGTGGGGCAGAAAATGATACTAATCAGCGTCGCCAGCTATTAAAATCGGAGTGGGGATTTGACTGTAATTGTACTAGATGCATGTATGGACATCAATACGGAAAAGAAATTACTCAAAACGATATTGACTGTGTACCTCCTTTTTTGGATGTATGTAAAAAAAAGTTACAAAATTACGCAGGAAGTTTTTGGGACACATGGAAAGGCGCACTGATTATAAAGTATAATAACTTATTGGCCGAACGTGCGGATGTTTGACGTGTGGATGTTCTTATTTTAGATAAGATAAAAATGATCAAATAAATAAATTAAAAAATATTTCAAATTCAGTTTAAATCATCTCACGAGAAAATGTCATCTGTATATATGTAAAAACTAAAAATCATGAAAACTTGAATCATTTGACAATTGTTATTTCTTGATAAACAATTCATTTTAGAATTCTTTTGATCGCTTTAAGTGTTACAGCCTCGAACTGTCGAGAAATTGGAGAAATTTAGATCAGTTGAGATACAATTGCCATTAAACCGGTGGGTCTTGAATGCGGGGGAGTGCTAGAATAACATCTAAAACTCATTATTTTTCGAATTTCGAAAAATTTAAGATTAACATGAAATGCTGTGTTTTATTTGAAGAGATTTTGTGTGCCTTGAATTTGTCTTTTGTTTTTCGGCATGAAAAAGTAACGATCGATAAAAAACACTTTGGATACATGTATGAATTATTATGTTTATATTTTGATTATAAATTTTCGATCGCAATGGAACTAATTACAATGAGGTTCAATAAAAAATAATTCTATTTCACAATTGATTCATGAGAAATTGTTTTATAAATATATGTAACAAAAAAACTGAATGATTTTAAGCGATTTTAAGAGTGCTATAATGGATAGAGCGATGATGGATACTTTAGTCAAATTAACTGATTTACAATTGTGGAATTTCTATTGAAAATTTAACATTTTGTGTATTCATCTATTTTTTATGAAAACTTGCAATAAAAGAGTGAGTGATTCAAATTCGATTTATGTAAATCGTTGGTTCTAATTTTGTGCCGCTTCTTGTTCCGTTGGGACTTCTGGTAGGTCGTTAATAATGTTGAATGTTTTGCGAATTTCTTCGGGCGTTTTGCCTTTCATCATATTTGCAACGGTTGTGCATGTTACATCCATCAATCCCTTGATGTCCAAGTAATTTGCGGCCATTATGAGCTCAAACAGAGTGCCTGCGATTTAAAAAAAGAGAAAATTAGTTAATGTTTGTTCCATATTGAATTCATCGATGAATATTAAACGAATGCAGTTGAACATGATTATTTTTAGCTTACCTTGATCGATTTTCAAAAATTCAGTATCCCATTCGGAGATTGGATTGTTGCTGGCACCATTGTCATCATCAGCATCAGTTGGAATGGTTTCGCCCTTGTGATGTTCGGACCACTTTAAAACGCGATTCAAAATATCAGCATTGACTTGAGGTACCGGCAAAATGGCTCCATCTCCAGCTTCGATGCCACATTCATCCAACATGATTTTGATGGTATTCGACATTTTGGCGACTTCAATGTCAACTTCGAACTTTTCACCGTCTGATGATTGGAAAGTAATTTTCGACATCTGAAAAACACACACAAAAAACTTTCAATTAGTTTATCTCTTAGTTTTTACTCAAATCGAGTATTACTCTTTATATTGACAAGAAAATGTCAGACACAAATAAATAAATAATTTTTGGAACTTACGTTTTTAAATTGATTTTAGTTAAAACTCGAGAGAAAAAGAATTGGTTTTAATCACAATTGGCAGTTAAATGCTACTCTGGCGAAAAACTCGAGAAGAATGATATGGATCAAACAAAGTCCTGGTATTTATACCCTTTTTGACTCCAGTAATGTCTTAATGAGGTCATTTGGTATGCAGTCATTTGGTTTAGTTACAAAAAGTGCATAACTTGTGGCGGCGCTGTAATCAATAATTATTTTAGTTTTGTAAGTGACATCTTCCTGATAGTATATTTCCAACAAAAATAAGCGAAGTACATGTGTATTTGGATTGACCTAAAATGCCAACGTACCAGATGAAAATTATCCGATCATTATTATATTTTCTTTCGTTATTCTCATCATCTTCTTAATAACATTTTGAATTATAGATGGACCCAGTTTTATTTTTAAAAAATTACTTGATGAATAATGAAATGAAAATGTCTAGCCGTTTTCAAGAAATGGAGACGTTTTTGAAAATTCGGTATTTTTACTTGATTTTGTTCTGCTCAGCTATATATATTAGGAATTCAAGCTTGGAAATATGGCGATAGAAAGAAGAACAATAATTATGGGTACCATACCAAATTAAAAATGCCTGCTTCAAAATATACACTAATTTACTCTTTTTGTCTCTGATTCTAAGGAGTATGGATACTGATATGTCAAATAGTTTTAATCAAAATACAAGACGACGCAATTGATTTTCGAATGGATAAAATAAAATATCATTTCAAAGGGAATATGTTTTGTTCTAGGTTTCGATTCGTGCATATATATTTCAAGAAAACATCATTTGCGGATGTAAAAACGTTCGAAAATTTTTTTTCTCGATTTTATGGCTTGAATACAATAAATTCTATGCTTCTCCCAAAATATTTTTTTCAAATCAAATGATTACAAATAACAAAAGAGGAAAAAATCGTTTTCTTTGTAAAAATGCCAAAATATCTTAAAAAGGAGCGCAAATATCGATCATGCCTGAATAATGTTTCATCTTTCTCGTATGATTTTTATGACCAGTGGTGTCTTTTTTGTTTTCAAACGTGTAATAAAACATTTGAAACAATGCAAGAGATTACAAAGTGACTAATTTTAACTAATTTTCAGTTTGTTTCGACATTTTTTTGATGACAAAAATGTGAAAGTGTTTATTAATTTCGGCGAAAGGTCACTATTGATTCCTTTACTACCAGACAACATATCTTAATGAGGATGCATTTCTAATGAAATCCAGCTAAATATGTGAAAACATCTTTTCAATAAATACTTTACCTGACATACTAGGTGTGTGCCGAAAAGTAATAGAACAAAAGTTCACCCTTTATCTTTCTTCGTATATTTGGGATTGCTATCGTCAAAGATCAGAACAAATACAAGAACAAAGATGACCAGACAATATGTATATCAGATAATTGCATTTTTTGCCAGCCTCCCTTTGAACACATTAGAGAAGTTCTTTGTTATGCTCATTCTCTCGCTTAAATATCCTTATTGTTTCATACTATGGATTTCAATTTACAACATTTTACTTTTTAGATAGAGAAAACTCAATGTAACTTGCCATACAATTAATAGGCCAAAGATGCATAGATTTGTTTTGAGATTTGAGACTGGTTTTCGATAATCTCTCCATTTTCTCATTAGCATTATTTTGGATGTCTAAAAAGCAGAGACTAAATAAAATTACAACAGAATTTCGAGTAATTGTTCAGAATTTATTTTCCATTTTCAGTTAAATACGCTTAAATACATTTGTTTTTATTATTTTCCATAAAATACAAGAAAGAGTCGAAATTGATTTAACATTGATGGTAGCCAGAGTAAGATGAGTCATTGGTGTTGTTTATTTTTCCTCGCACCATTCGTTCTCTTTGCGAACCTGTTCTTCTTCGGCCGATGTAAAGTCATTCTTGATGTTGAATGTACTGCGAATTTCTTCGGGTGTTTTGCCTTTTATCATATTGGCAACCGTTTTGCAGCCGGCATCAAGCAAGCTTTTGATGTCCAAGTAATTGGCAGCCAGAATCAAATCAAATAATACGCCTGCAAATAAATTACACAAACAATTAGATACGTTTTCCAAACAATTGTGGTGGGCGACAAACTAAAATATTTCGAGTCGTTTAAACCAAACAGCCTTTTAACTTTTAGCGAAAGAACTAATAAAGGATTATTGTGTTTTTACCTTGATCACATTTCAAAAAATCAGCATCCCATGCTGAAATATCATCGGTGCGCTTTTCCTTGTTTTCATCATCATCGACAGGTTTATCGTTATGATGATGTTTTGCCCATTCTAAAACGCGACGTAAAATGTATGAGTTCACATTTTTAAGTGGTACAGTGGCACCACCATCGTCATCTTCAATACCACAATCATCCAACATGGTTTTAATAGTGCCGGAGCATCTGGCCACGTCGATTTCAGTATCAAATATTTCACCGTCTGATGATTCCAACTTAATAATGGCCATCTGAAAAATAGACATGAAAACAATGAATTATTTTAATTCTCACTTTTCCAAGCACTAATGACTTTGGCGATTTTTGTTGGTAGAAAAAACAATGCAATATTATTTACTTTTAAACGATAAACTTAAAGAACCTTGTATACTGAGTGAGACCTCTATACAACTCAAATGTGGATTTCAATGCGAGTGAGAGAGGCAATAAAAGCCTCACTTTTTATACAAACTTCTTTAAGCACGAAAATTATAATAGAAATGGTTTGAGATCGTAATTATAAAAAAAAATGTGAACTTACTTTTTAAGATGACTTTTTTTTATTGAAAAATAAAAGAACTGCGTTGGATCACTTTTTTTTGTTCACGATATAAACTTGCTCGTCCGAAAGATACGATAAGAATGATGTGCCGAAATGAGTGATGTCCTGGTGTGTACACTCATTTGCATGGCTACAAGCGGCCTCTTTCTAATGACGTTCATCTAATCACCTCATAGTTTCTTAGATTCCCACCAGATCCACAACGAATAGATCTATTACTCCCTTTTTCCTGAATTCAAACGTATACCAACAAATAATTACTGTTGAATAGTTTATATTTGTGTCCATGGGAATAAAAGTGGCAATACAAAAACGGAATCTGAAGAACATCACATGAATCTTTTTTACATAGTATAACTCCATACAAAAAATTTTTTTATGTGACGTTCTTCAGATTCCGTTTTTGTATTGCCACTTTTATTCCCATGGATACATTTCCATCAATGTTTAATATGCTTTTATGGAAATAAAAATATATGTAAAGAATAAAGATATATCTTACCTTTTTTTCAATCAATGAAAAGGTGTCGTTTTTCTATTCACTACTAGTAGTTACTCAATAGCAATAGTTCTGCGATCCATACCATAGTCATTGCACGGACTGTTGGTCAGTGTTTAATGACGGAGGTAATGTGATCTGTTGATAAAAAGCCAAAAACACAAGTTAATTAGACAAGAAAGTTTGATTTTTACGAATGAACGATTCGTTCAGCAATGAAGAGTATGCTGAATTCAAAATATATTTTTTTTCGGAAATAATAAGAGTTTCGGGATGTAACTCACCAAATCGAAATTGATATGCTTCGAATAATCCCCTTTCATTGAGTTTCATCAATGTACTTGGAGCCATTTTCATCAAGTTTTATCAGTGATTGATGGATTCAACGAAAAGTTTCAATGGCCATTACGAACAATTATTTGTTGAGTGAAGTGGTTGTATATTTGTTGAACTCAACAAAACCGGTTGCCGAACAAAAGTTTCATAATTAGATATGCTGAGATTTTAATATCAAACGTGATTGGGGATCATAAGTTTCAGAAGTTTGGTTTTCATATTTCCATGATGACTTCTGGCAGGTAAGTGGTTGTATACTGTTCAGCATTGAAGGACCTTTGATCCTCTAAAAACATGGTAACAACATGACCCCTAACACTGTAGAATAATGCGGTCCAATTTTTCATGATCACTTCACAAGCGAACAACTTGTTTTGGATTGAGTTCATGTTTGAAGACTCAGAGAGTCGACCGTGCTTTTCTTTCGGGTCCAAAGGACTGGAATCATGTCTTGGCTTCTGTTGCGTTCGTATAGACGTGTTTTTATGATCCTATAGGATCATATGTTAAGTTTACTTGGACATTTCCTACTGCCAAATAAAAGGTTGAATTTCTGAACAATTTTCGAATTATGTGGGATGAAGGTACACACTGCCAGGTGATTGTGCAATATTGAATGTTTATCGTGGGATTGTATGCCCAGATATGCCACAATTTAATTGTAAAAGAAACTTCGATCCTATATCAAACGGTACCTGGGTGTTCCTCGATGACATCAATTTTCGAAGGATCATCGCGCAATGGATCTCTGTGGCTAGCACCATGACGATGGGATTGAGTGAAACAGTTGTATACAGTGGCAATACATAGTACTTCCTTTCCATACCCCAACTTAGGTCGGAAGTAATACTCTTGAGCAGAGACCTCTCTTTGAAAACTTATTGAAAATTAACTTTTTTGTAAATTTCATTTTTTCACGAAATCGACATTTTCCTACTGACGCCGTAGCCACACCACAAAACTGAAAACCGTTCTCTAAAAGCTATTGTTCATAAAAAATGTCAAGCTTTACGAATATGAAGAAATTTGGTAACAGTGCGGGAAAGTTAGACTTACGGATGTAAGTTCCTTTTTATTTTAATTTATATTTAATATTAAATATTCGATAACGAAGCAATTCAATTTTTTCACAAACATAGCTGCTCCGAAAAAGTTTAAACAGTAATATTCAAAAGAACATGAATTGTTCGCATTTATTTGTTTGCACTGATGAATCGGTAAGTCGTTTTCATACGCTCACACAGAGGCATTTTCTATATTAACTCTTCGATTTGTGTATTATGAATTGTGAAACAATGCACGCGTGCCAATGCAATTTTCGTGTGATCAACAGAAGAATGTGTGTTATTAGCTTATATGATGTGCATTTTGGTTGATTTTACACATTCTTGGCAAACCATGATATTTCAATAATAAAAAATCAATCCCTGGATTGTCAGCAGTTCTCAATATTCGTATATACATCGAAATTCATTCAATCGCACAAAATATTGCCTTGAGTAGAAAGAAAATCCAACATCTATCACCTGAGATATGCAGGGTGCTTTATTGATATGAGCGATATATAGTAGAAGTGCATGTGTAATGAATTCATTTGGTCGTGAATATTCAGCTTATATTCATTTCTATTAAAATGTGTGTTTTTTTATGCACAAGCCCGGACAAAAAGGACTCATTCTTCAAACAGCCCATAAGTGCAATAAATTCAAAACTTTGTATTCATAACAACTGCTTTGACTGCAACAGAACTGGACACACACAGAAAACACCATACGCAAGAAGTATCAATTTTGTAAAACTTTAATAGTAATGAATTTCATCACATCATTTTGCTACCAGACACAAAAGAATGTGTCCATTTCAATGAATATTTCAAATATTTTTTCAAGCGTAGTCATTCATTGATCGCATTAGATTCAACATTTAGCCATCGATGACGTCCGATTTAGTCATAGTGTTTTCTGTATGCACACAAGCGCGATATATGTGTCGACAAGACTTTGATAGTAAAGAACACAACAAAAGCGAAAAGAGTAATGGAAACAGATGGAAAACGAATACAAACACGCCATAAAATTGAATCATATATTGAATGAATTTAATGATTTTGAACGATTTCGTTTTCAATGAAAAAAAAAAGACCTTAACAAACATTAGAATTGAAATCGATAAAAAATAAAAATAAATCACAGAATCCACGCAAAAACTCAAAGCAGACTTGTGTTCAATATGAATATGTTTTACGATGGAAACAATATAGATGCTTGAGCCTATATGAGTTCACTGATGATGATGAGTGATGAAATACACTGGAATATTCATAGAACGAAGACAAAAAATATATTATTTATTTCAAAATATATGCAATAGATCACAAATGCATCATTGAATAAGAAAACATGTGAACAAAACGCTGTTCAGTCATATTTAAATGTACATTTCCATAGAACCGGCGATTTGTTTTCCAGAATTTGCCGTGAACTTCGCCTCAATACAAGCGTATACTTGTAGAATACATGTATCTTTGGTTCAGTGGAGCAATCAATGTAAACGGTCATCTGGTGCTTTATTCTCACTGATTTTTCTTCGAAAAAAATGGAATATTTTTTATATTTTGATTTTTTTCAAATTTCAATAAAAAAATAAAAATAAAAACAAGGAAAAAATAGAAAAAAACCAAATATTTTATTGCAACAAGTGGTTAACGCGTTTCGATGCGTTCATCGCGTCCAGCGAATTCAGATACGAGTGAAGTTGCTGCGAACTGAATTGTTTGACAAGCCGCTCTTTTTACGCACACATACAGCAACAGCAGCTGCTTGTGCTACACTCACTCTCAAACAAACGTATATAGTGTGGATTAAAGAGGCTGCATTTGTCGCACGCTCTATTAAATTTTTGTTAAAGGCAATTTTGTTTGGTTTTTTGTCGATTGAACGTTTTAAAATTGGATTAAAATTATGTCTGACGACGAACAAAATAACGAAGCAATGGAAACCAACGAAAATTCCGACAGCAATGAGAATTCGGTAAGTTTATTTCGAGTGAAAAGTTTTTTTTTGTTAGTGCAAAAAAAATCCATACTTCATATGTTTGATGGTGGTGTTGCTGCTGTGAGTGAAGCATACAGCATAGCTTTCCATTTCACTTTGTCGCACAGCCACCATTCATGTACAAAGCAAGCGTCTCAAGACGACTCATTTTTTTTCGCTATGTATGGATACACGCGAAATAAAAGAATTTATGTGCTGAGTGAAACAAAGGCTAAATTGAATGAGCATTATGTATTGTGTGTATGTGCGGGGTTTTGAATGAATGGCGTCGTCTTTTATGTTTGCCTTGTTCCGAATTTTATCTTATTTCGTTGTTTTGTTTATTGAAAACAAAAATTGTATGAATGATAAATAGAATGACGGTCAACCGATGGAAATAGAACAAGTTGATGCCGAATTGGACAACAAAATGGAGAAAGATCGCTCGAAACGATTCAACTTTTTGCTGAAACAAACGGAAATTTTTACACATTTCATGACCAACACTGGCTCCAAATCACCAACGAAAGTTAAAACGGTGGGACGACCCAAGAAAAACAAAGAAGTACTATTGGAAGCTACTGGAGATCCTGGAGAGTATGCATTTTTTACATGTTTTTAGTTGATGTTTTTTTTTGGAGAATATTTTTAATCGATTTTTCCATTTCCACACAGCCATCGACATCGTAAAACCGAGCAAGAAGAAGATGAAGAATTACTTGCTGAAACAAATACAGCATCGAACGTATTTCGTTTCGAAGAATCACCACCGTACATTGAAAACGGAGAAATGAGAGACTATCAAATCAGGGGTCTCAATTGGATGATTTCGTTGTATGAAAATGGAATCAACGGTATTTTGGCCGATGAAATGGGGTTAGTTGGATTTTATTTCATATTATTTATTTAATGTTTTTATAATTCTTACAATGTAAACTCACTCAAAAAAATTTCTTATCATTTTCAAATAGTTTGGGAAAAACTTTACAAACCATCTCATTGATTGGATATTTGAAGACACTCAAGTAAGTTGCAACGTTTTATGTTTAATTTCTGTGAAGTTTTCTTTTATCAGTTGTGTTTTTCTTTGAAGTGAAATATCGAAATGAATTGAAATTAACTGAAAATATCTTTGAAGGGACGTTTTTCTATTTATAGTTTAGTCCATTTATATGGACATTCAGTGTTTTCTGTCATTTTTTTGTGTTTCATCAATTTTTCAAAATTATTCAAATAAACAAATTCAAATTAGATTCCAATCCAAATCAATTGTAATTGAATTTATTCAATAAATGTTCCCAAATTTGCCTTCCGCAGAAAAGTCAATGGTCCACACATTGTCATTGTGCCGAAATCAACCCTCCAAAATTGGATGAATGAATTTTCGAAATGGTGTCCATCGGTGAAAGCGGTTTGTTTAATCGGTGACCAAAATTCCCGTTCCGAGTTCATTCGTGATGTTTTATTATCCGGTGAATGGAATGTGTGTGTTACATCATACGAAATGTGTATTCGTGAAAAGAGTGCACTAAAGAAGCTGTCATGGCGTTACATGGTCATCGACGAAGCGCATCGTATTAAAAATGAAAAATCCAAATTGTCGGAAATTTTGCGTGAATTCAAAACAACAAATCGTCTACTCATCACCGGAACACCATTACAAAATAATTTACATGAATTGTGGGCACTGCTCAATTTCTTGTTGCCGGATGTCTTTAACAGTGCTGATGATTTTGACGAATGGTTCAATACCAATCAGTGTTTGGGCGATGATTCATTGGTGAAGCGTTTGCATGCGGTGTTGCGTCCATTCTTATTGCGTCGCTTAAAATCGGAGGTGGCCAGTGAATTGAAACCGAAAAAAGAAATGAAAATTTTCGTTGGCCTGTCAAAGATGCAACGTGAATGGTATACAAAAATTTTGATGAAAGACATTGGCATCGTCAATGGAGCCGGCAAATGCGAGAAAATGCAATTGCAAAATATTCTGATGCAATTGCGAAAATGCACAAATCATCCATATTTGTTTGATGGTGCAGAGCCCGGACCACCATACACAACCGACACCCATTTGATTTACAACAGTGGCAAAATGGTTGTGCTCGATAAATTGTTGCCAAAATTACAAGAGCAACAATCACGTGTGTTGATCTTCAGTCAGATGACACGAATGTTGGATATACTTGAAGATTATTGTCATTGGCGTCAATTCCAATACTGTCGTTTGGACGGAAAAACAGCGCACGAAGATCGTGATCGTTATATCAGCGAATACAATTCGGAAGGAAGTCAAAAATTCATTTTTATGTTGTCAACACGTGCTGGTGGTTTAGGTATTAAATTTTTTTTTCATCATTTTTCAATAATTTGAAAAAACATTTTTTTTCGTTGTATCATTTTTCAAGGTATTAATCTTGCCACCGCTGACGTTGTCATCATCTTCGATTCCGATTGGAATCCTCAGATGGATTTACAGGCCATGGACCGTGCCCATCGTATTGGTCAAAAGAAACAAGTGCGTGTTTTCCGTTTTGTCACCGACAATACGGTTGAAGAAAAGATTGTTGAGCGTGCCGAAATCAAGTTGCGCTTGGACAAATTGGTCATTCAACAGGGTAAATTGGTTGACAGTAAAACAAGCCAATTGAACAAAGATGAAATGTTGAGTATGATTCAACATGGTGCAAATCATGTGTTTGCATCAAAAGATTCCGACATTACCGACGAAGATATCGACGAGATTTTGGGTAAAAGTGAAGAAAAAACTGCCGAACAAAAGAAAAAATTGGACGAATTGGGCGAAAGTTCATTGCGCACATTTACACTTGATACAGCCGAAAAAAATCATAACATTTATCAATTCGAAGGTGAAGATTTCCGTGAAAAGGCCAAAATTAATATTGGTAATTGGATTGAACCGCCAAAGCGTGAACGTAAAGCAAACTATGCAGTTGATGCTTATTTCCGTGATGCATTGCGTACATCGGAACCAAAAGCACCGAAAGCACCACGTCCACCCAAACAACCAATCGTTCAAGATTTTCAATTCTTTCCACCACGTTTGTTTGAATTACTCGATCAGGAAATATACTATTTCCGTAAAACGGTCAATTATAAAGTACCACGGAATCCAGATTTGGGTGCCGATGCCGTAAAAGTACAACGTGACGAACAGCGCAAAATTGACGAAGCCGAACAATTGACCGATGATGAAATCGCCGAAAAGGAATCATTAATGACACAAGGTTTTACCAATTGGACAAAACGAGATTTTAGCCACTTCATTCGGGCTAATGAAAAATACGGACGAGAAGATATTGACAATATTGCCAGAGACGTTGAAGGTAAAACACCGGAAGAAGTCATTGAGTACAGTCAAGTGTTTTGGGAACGTTGCCAAGAATTGAACGACATTGAACGTATCATGAAACAAATTGAACGCGGTGAATCGAAAATTCATCGTCGAGCTTCGATTAAAAGAGCATTGGATATAAAGGTAAGACAAACAAAGTTCCTGTTCCCAATTTTTGTAATTTTTTTTTTCATGAAATTTCAATTAATTTTATTTTCAATTGAATTCATTCATAGATGTCGCGATACTTGGTGCCATTCCATCAATTGAGAATTTCGTACGGTACAAACAAAGGCAAGAATTACACAGAAGAAGAAGATCGTTTCCTTGTTTGTATGCTACATCAGCTGGGATTTGACAAGGAAAATGTTTACGAAGAGCTCCAAGCAGCTATTCGGTAAGACACCTGTTCCGATTAGAAAATGTTTCGAAAACTCATCATTAATAAAAAATTAAATAATTTTTTTTTGTCATTTTTAAAACAGGAATTCGCCACAGTTCCGTTTCGATTGGTTTTTGAAATCACGTAAAGCGGCCGAATTGCAACGTCGCTGCAATACGTTGATCATGTTGATTGAACGTGAAAATCAAGAATATGAGGAACGTGAACGTCTCGAAAAAAAGAAGAAAGCAGTCAAAGAGAATGTGACATTAACAAATGGCAGCAACGGTGCATCGCCCGCTCAAAAAGCTGCCCAGAAAAGGAGAGCCGAAAGTTTGAACGACAGCAAAACCGGCAAAAAGAAAAAGAAATAAATTAACATACATATACACACACACTTCCACCAAAACTAATGGACACATTCTCAGGGACGCTAATAATTACTATTACTTCTAATTTTTTTCCCTTCAATTCCTAGCAAAAACAACTACATTAAAATGACAATTATTTAATATACACAGACTTGTTTGCGTTTGCGTGCAATTTCTGTTTAGATTATTTTAATTGTAGATTTTTCTTGAGTTTAAGACTGAAAAAGTATGTACTTAAAGAAAATAGCATCGGTCTGGCTTATATCACACACACAGAAAAAACCATAGATATTTCAGTCTCGAGATATTACACACATACAAAAAAAATCTAGCATTAGTATATTAATAATATCACATAGAGTGTATACTTAGAATAGAGAGTGTTGGGTTGTCACACGAATATTACAGACATTTCAATACAAAATTATTATTTATACATTTTAACACTGTCTTTGTGTCCAATATTTTAGAACCTACACACTTATTATAATTATAATATTGATTAATATGATATTAGAGCGAGTCGAGTGTATTGACATTTACTTTTATGAGATCAAATAAATTATCACTTTTATCGGCAGCCAATTTGACATGGTGTTTTTCTTTGCAAAACTTTGAATTTCAAATTAATTCGTCCAAAATTCAGGGAAATTTAAATAATTTTTTTAAAAATGCCTTATGATAGAAAAATCAAGAGCAAGAAGAACATTTTTATTAGAATGTTTTCATTGAAAAACCTGCCACACGGGTTGCACAACAAAAACATTCAATGCAGATTAGATTGAGTTCAATGCACACAATATATTAATTTGTCAAATGATTCCATCAAAGAGGTGCGCTATGTGTTGTGCATGACTTTTAATTGGTAGATCAAAGCAAAATTTGTACATGCAAAACGTAAGGAACGACCATCAAAGTAGTGTAAATTTGCCGGTGCTAGAACCGTCAAAAAAATACACTACTCATCAAATTTGCATGACCGGTTTTTTTGAATCAAGATTCTCGTTCACTGAAATTAAAAGATTCAATAACTCTTACTTTTGAGTTTTTTTAACAACGTAAACGACTAATTTATTTTCAATTTTTTTTTGATGACTCATAAACCACATGCTCAACATCCAACGTTTTTTTTACCATAACAAACATAAAATTGTCATCTGTAGTCGTCGCATGCAAAACCGGATTCTGGTTACCGGAATGGAAGAGATCACCAAAAAAATACATACATTTGATTTGTCTATCTTCTATTTTTACCAATTTTGGTGTACATTTATATGCGAATTTATATTGGATGAGTAGTCAATTCTTGTTCAATCAAAAAATGATTAGAAATAAAAATCGATTCCTGTTCCCGCTTGAATAATTTCCATATATTTATAAATATTATTGATAAATTTTGAACAAGAATGAGCAAGTTCATGTTTTTGGTGTTATTTGATAAATATTTGCTAAATGTTGCTAAAAGTTGATATTGGCGTCGACCAAGAATTGACTCCCCATCCATTTAATGGGGGAGTAAAAGCATCATTTTTGGCGAAGAATAAATGTCAGTCTTGAACATGTGGTTCGGAGATGAAGACCACATTTGATATTTGAATTCATTTAAAATCTAGACTTTATGTGGCAAGTAGTGTTCTTTTACTAAAGTTTTTTAAGCATAAAATTTCAACCATGTCTTGGCTCATCTATACGATTGGATTGTATGCATTTCTTTGGTGGTTTATTGATAATTTCAAATCATTGTTTCAAATTGCATGGAATTTACTTGTGTCATTTTTACAACCAAAAAATAATGTACCACTGAACGAAAAATATGGCAACTGGGCCGGTGAGTATGGAGTGGATCAGATCAAATTTGTTCTCAGTGTTGAGAAAAAAGTGTTCAATAGTTAAGATTTGATAGAATTTGTTGTCAACCGAAAATGTTAAAAATAGAAAATTGTTTCAATTTCATATACTAGTGGTGACGGGCTCAACGGATGGAATTGGTAAAGAGTATGCCAAACAACTGGCTCATCGTGGTGTTAATGTTGTTTTAATCGCCAGAAATGAATCGAAATTAGCTACCGTCGCAAGAGAGATTGGTGAATAACGTAAAAATTGAAATAAAATAGCAATTTAAATAATTTTTTATTGATTCATATAGAATCATTGTATCCGGTGCAAACGAAGATTTTGGTAACTGATTTTACAAATGGTCGAGAAATATATAACAACATAAAATATACGCTTAGCACTGTTCCAGTGGGCATTTTGGGTGCGTATCTTATGGTTTGATTTTTAATTGTAGTGAATTAACTGTGATAACATTCAATATGTTCTCCTCCTTGTGTTCAAGTCAATAATGTCGGACAAATGTACGAGTTCCCGGAAGAGTTGGGGAAGGTGTCAGACGATTTAATCTATAATATGATCTTAACGAATGTAACGGCGGTTACAATGATGACGCGACTGGTGGTTAATGACATGAAACAACGGCAAAAGGGTATAATTGTAAATGTTTCGTCTGCCATGGCATTACAACCAACACCACTGTTATCGGTTTATGCAGCGAGCAAAGTGTGTTTTATTTCAAATTGAGTATTGGTGTTCCAAACCCACATTTTTTGGCACCTCTAATATCTATCCGAAACTAGAAACTGACTAAAAAGTTCAAATATTGATTTGTGTAGGTTTATGTGAAAAGTTTTACATTGGCTCTTCGTCATGAATGCAAACCATATGGCATTGATGTACAATTACTTTCGCCGTATTTTGTTCGAACAAAATTGAATAATTTTTCGACGAGTTTGATGGCCGGTGGTCTATTCATACCAGATGCAGAAACTTATGTTCGGTCAGCCATTTCAACATTGGGCAAATCTGATGAGACAACGGGATATTGGCCACATGCTATTCAGGTTGGTTGTCATTAAATTATACGTATTTTGACATTTTTCAAATGGTTTTTTTTTTGTTTTACAGTTTGCATTTCTAAAAATGCTACCAGTGACATTCCGTACAATGATGATTGAATCGCTTGCCAATCGTTTTCGAGCTGAATACTTTTTGCAACAACAACAAAATCGATTTTAAACATTCAAACACTATGAGCTGGAGTTGAATTGTTCATGCAATTTTTTCATAGTTAAATATTTAATCGTATTTAATAAAACATCAAAAACTCACAAAAACAAACTTTATACAAAACTTATGAATTCCACCGTTTTTGATCATCATGTTCCTCGCATTAGTGTTTGAAAACAATGAATCTTTTGTTATTTCTTCGAATCAATAGAACAGCGATATTTACAATGTAAGAAAAACCGCTTTCACCAAAAGAAACAAAAGGTTCTTTCGCATTAAAGAAATTAAGAACAGCTAAAGGAAATGTTTACCAAACGTGACCAAACGAAACTGTACAAACATACACAAAGAATATATATATTCATTTTAAAATCGAATTTAATTATTATACTTGAAAACATTTTTCTTTTAGAAAACATCACTTATTCTTCTTCTTTGTAGAATTATCTTTTTTTTTAAATTGTTGATAATGAAGTTCGTTCAAATCTCTCGTTCGAAAATCAAGTCATCGCATCGTTCTTCAATGCGTTTTTGGGTGACTTTCCAATTTGATGTCATTGCCACAGTGAATGATTCACGTTTTTCGCCATCGCTGTACAGAAATCGAAGATGTAGCTTTCGTAGTTGCTTGCATTCGCCAACGAATTGAATCATTTGTTCAGGCGATGAAATGAAATCACCGTAGACAAACAGTTCGTCCAATTTCGTTAGCTGAACAGCGAATTGCATCAAATGTTGATCCATGTTTTCATTGGCCAAAATACATAGACCTGAAAATGAAGCAGTGACTTTATTTAATGCCTGAGGAGTAATTACGCGTATTTTTTTATTATTACCTGGCATAAGCACAAGTGTACGCAGTTGTTTGTTTTGAACGATGAATTCGGTCCATTTTTGACTTTGGCAGGAATATCCGTTTAAAACCAAATGCTCGAGTCGATCAAATTTGAGTGGAACGCGCGACGACGGATGTGTGCCCATACCAGAAATGTGCACTGTCAATTCAACAACCGCTTTGAAATTGATTGGTTCACCTCGGTACAATGATGGGCTGTCATTTTGATACTGCATTTTAAGCACCTCAAGTTCAGGAAGCAATTCGTTGATCATGCGTATCATTTCGATATTCAGTTGATCACCAAAACGTAACGTATTTACCTTAATATTAAATATATTTTGATGAGCAAAAATGTTTGAAAAATTGATTTCGAGTTTATCAAGGAAAGAAAAAACAAAGAGTGTTCACCTTTCGTAAGTCTGGCATGCTCAAGAGCATTTTTCGCAAATTCTGCATTATTTGATCGGCTTGGTCAGCCATTTTCACTGACTGAAAGAATAGAATGCACCAATTATTATTTTTCAGTAACTGGATTTGGTGTTGAACTGATATGAAATTAGTACTTACGATTTCTTGTTGGAATTTTTCTGTGTGAGTTTCGGCCGCAGCAATAGTTTTTTTAACGATTGATTGGAAAGAAATTTTTATATGTGTATAGATTGAATTGAATGGCAACAGCACGAATTCGATGTGATTGTGTTCTGAGTGACGACGATTCATTCAAATATCCATCGAATGTTTTCAGGATAACAAATACACATTCACAAACATATGATCCACTTCATTTTTACATACACTCACACATATCGCTACAAGCTCATGTCTACGTTTAGGGTTTGTTCACAAAATGGTTTTATTTTTATTAAAATGTATTTACAAAAAATTGAAAATGACATCAATTCGAAAAATCGTCTTAAAATATTTTCGGTGCTTTAGATTTTAAATTCAATTGCCGTGGTATAGCAATTTTGGTTTTTTTAATTAAATTTTCAAAAAATAGAATCATAAATCAAAATTAAGTTCGGTTTATAATTCATTTCGTTCCGCCTTTTGTTTTGGTTTTTTCAAATCCTTGGAAAGTTCTATGGCTCGCTTTTCAATGCTTTCCCAAAAATCGAAAGCAATTTGATTTGGACGCCGGCCAATCGTTAGCCCCAAATTGTTGATATCCAGAAAGAAGACTTTGTCTTGTTGAACTGATTGAAATCCCTCGATTGGTTCATTTTGATAAGTTGGCGTTCTGATTAAAAATGATTTTTTTTATATAACCACTCTCAAAACGTCAAAAGGACTGAGTAACTCTGTGATGGTGCCGTATTCGGGTGTACATGTATTCTATGACTCTGCAATACATGCAAATCTAAATATTGCACCAGCACAGAACTACTCTACTCCTTTGACATTTCAAAAGCACCAAAATATTTCCGTTATATTGACAAAGAATTACCCGTATTTAGCAAGGTTTGTATAAATTGTGCTAATATTATCAATGGCTTGGAGTGAGACTTTCGATTCTTTGGTATGATTGTTTTTAAGAACTTCCTCGTAAAGCGCTTGAATAACATCAGATCTAAAATAAAAAGTCATCAAAATATACGCAGAATTCAACGACTTATTATTTGAACTGACTTACCGGAACAAATAATATATATCATCGCCATGCGATGCACCATATATATTAGCGACGTCTGGACTTCGAGGGAAGAATGTGATTAGACTTGAAACTACCGAAAACCTTTTTTTCACCACAAAAAAGGACATCGTTGTAAATTCATTGAAAAAATCCTTAAAAGATCGAACTGCTACTACCAGAGATAAAATGTCTTTCCACTTGATTTGGATGCATGAGTTCTCACAGCCTTATCCGTTCCATATCCAAAATTCATGTCCAATAGAAGTTCGACATAATGTTTCATTGCCTGATTGCTTTCTACATTATCACCAAAGTAAAATGTTCGAATTTCATTTTTTAGATTAGTTTTTTGCTGTAAAAAAACCACAGAAATGTCCAAAATTTGAGCGAATTTATGAAAATTGTTGATTTTTTTATCAACTCACCTCAGTGTCTACTTGCAATCCTCGAATCGGCAATAGTAAATTTGAGCTGGAATATGCATCTTTTTAAGAAGGAAACAATGAAGAATATCCAACTAGTTCCTGAAGTTAAAAAAAGCCAATTTAAAACTTGTACATAATTTTTTTTTTATTAGCAAACAATTGATGTCATTGTAAATAATGCATCTACGTTAACTTGTGATGACTCGTAAATCTCCTTTGGTGATTGAACAATGAAAGGTTGTTTTGCATCCTTTCCTATTTCAATAAAAATCATCTTAATATTCAAACAAAAGATTCAACCTGAAATAACTTACTTTCAATGACCGGTCCAAATGGAATTTCGAAGAACACATTCGAAGAAAGTATTAAACTATACTCACTAAGCTTGTCGGCTGAAACTGTCTTCAAAAATGTCACCAACTCATCAGTGGTTAAATTTGCATGACCCATATCGTTGGAAAATTTGTGTGCAAATTCCAAATGATCATTAGTTGGGCTCATTGCCCAGTAATTGTCGATTACACCACTCATTAGAATTGCATTGCGAAAATATTTTCTTGATTCAGCTGATAACATTTGGAAATAACGTATTCATCATCACGGCATATTTTCAACAATTCGGTTAATGATGTTTGATCAATTGAATTTTCATACAGTTTGTGACCAATCAATTTCTTGGTGTATGCGCCGGCTGTCCAATGAACGGTGTTTTCTGATTCAAACATTTTGCTATTGCTACAAATGAATTCAATTACATGATCGTTTGGCACACAGACGTGCGGAAGCGCGTTGGCACATAGTGCTTGTATTTTGACATCGGCCTCGAATGATGCCCAAAATGCAATTGATTGTCCTTTTCCCAATTGGCGCATACGCATGCATGCCTGCACGGTTTTATCACGTGTAATATCACCCGAAAGTGTAATATAAATGTTAATAAAAAAACTCTACTTTTTTTCTCTAATTAAAAAATTAATTCCTTTATAAAGAATCTTTTGGAAAACCTCTACAACACAATGTTTTGAAACGTACGCGTATCATATAGATGGTAAAAAGTTACTCTTGGAAGGACGAAAAAAGATTGCGATTATTGTCATATAAACAATAAAAATAATTGTTCACAACCATACTTTTCTCTTTCATTCTCTCACGTTTGCAATCATTGACAAACTTGTGTCGCTTATTTTTTTTTTTTTGCTTTGCTGTAGAAATAAACATATATTCAGTTTGGAATCACTTCAATTTGAAATGTTCCCCAATTTCTGAAATATTGCTAATTAATTAAAATTAACTGTTTTCGGCCTGTCCAAAGAACTCTCTAAAAGAACCGAAAATAACGCAAAACAGAGATTTTTACAACTACACTTCAAAAATAAATAGTGGTGCAAATATGCTTCAATATAGATGATTCGAACACTTCTACAAAACACCGCAACCATGCATATTGCACAATGAATGTGTAAGATATATTTATACTGAACGGAGAACGATTGTGTTATTTTGCATATATACGAAATGACGTATATATTGAGATAAAAATATGTGCTTCTCTCTCATGTAAACGCTCATATACAAGATCGAAATTCGGCTCAGATTTTCGTCTGTGGTCGCAAATACGGGACATCATTTTGAATTCATTTTACTGTTGAATCTGTTCCCAAACGGACGCATTATTACAAAGACTAACAACATTGAGTTTTTTTCCAAAATTCAGAAGAGTGAAAGAAAATAAAACATTGCAAGCATCATATATAATCATTTATTGAAATACACATCGGACTGGGTGAGTTTTAACATAAAATCTATTCCAATTGGTATAGTTGTTTGTTGCTTAAGTGGATTGAGATAGTTTGGCGTTGATTTTCAACAATATAATATTTTGAATTTAATCATCGGTCAAATTACTTGCCGTCTTTATTTCAAGATTCTGAAAATTGATGAAATGAGAAGGATTAAATATATAATCAAATATATCGAACGAAATACAATAAAATAATAAATAAGTAAATTTATTGATTCGATCTCCCTTGCTTCTTTGCACGTGAATATGTGTATTAATTAATAGAAATCAAATTATTTCCGAAGTATGGACTTTTCGATTGTGTACATCATTTTACTTTTCCGCACACACATAGTGTGAAAAGGGAAAGTATTGTAATGGGTCAAAATTTACGACATCTCAAAAACATGTTTTCTGGACGTTTCTGAGG